AAAATGAAAGAAAGAAAGATTATTTGAATTAATAATCGAATAGAGAATTTGTTGATTATTATCTAATAGATATGAATAACAAGAGAAGCTAAACAAACATTGAAGATGTTATTCGATCACTTGTGTTTGGTATAGTTACATGAATGAAACTAAATAATAAAAAACTCTTGTTAATAGTAACAGCAGCGAAATATAGCACAATCGTTGATGATGATAACATTAAAAACGAGTAAAACACTTGAGAATATGCGGCAGCTCGTAAGTGTCAATACTTTGCCTGTGGTTCATACATTTATATGCAAGAAGAGATTTTTGCTTACCTTCATTTAATCAGTATCAAAAAGTTCTCATGAAAAATGAATAGATTGATCATTATTGGTTTGATTCTTATCCATTATATGACAATTGCTGAAATGATGTAGCTCAAACAATGAATGAAAAATCACATAACAACTAACAGAAGATATAAAAATGATTTATGTAGAAAAAAAATCTTTTATTGTTTATTTAACTGACTCTAGTATAATCATCTTGCTTGATTAAATATATTCAAAAGATGAGTGCAATAAACTAATAGATAATATGAAATTGTTTCATTTTTTGATATTTCAGTTAAAGAAAAAGGTATTATGAAACATCACGAATATATTTTAAAGTAATTTGTTTAAAAAGAATATTATTCTATTGAAACATGACTTTTCTTATCAATAAGATTAGGCGTAGATTAAATTTGTTTATTGACCAATCAATAAAATGCTTCTTAATCATTTTTGTTTATCATTATCATCAACATTTTGTGTGTATATATATATGTTAACAATCATGTATACAAGGAATTAGCTATTGCTTATGTACATTATTCGATTGTTTCTTTCTGCTCTCCTGTTGATATTGACCGAAGAACATACATATCTACACCCAGTTTTTTTTTCAATGTTTATTTATTAGCAGAAAAGATTAGTCGATAGTTATTTTTCTTCTAACAAAAAGAAAATATTGATAAATCTCTAATAGAGCTTCATTTAATTCATTTTTTATCAAATGTATACTTACGAATATTTTAGTTTTAATTATGTTATGATACTCAAATAAAAATATTTAGTTTTAAAATCAATTCATCTTTCTTTTTCTTTTTTACATTAAATAAAACCTTCTGTTCGAATATTTTCTTTTGAAAATAATTAATCGAGTGAGTCATACTCCAATTTGAAGTGTGACAAACTTTTATGATTATGTCCTTAAGTGTAGAGAGCGGATCTAACGTTTTTCTATACAAACACAGCAGGAGATTGACTTATTCTCTCGTCACCATGTTGTTCATTAGTTGCCGCCTAGTTTCAATCGCTATAGGCGACGTTGACGATGATTACATTGAATATGTTTGATCTTATTTTGCTTATGGCAAATATATATATATCTGAGTTTTTCTTCTCAATTTACAAGACTTATCTGATAGGAATACCTTGATCTATGATTTCGTCTGTCATCGCGTAATCGATCAAATATACATTTTTTTTTATTTTAATTCTCGCGCATCGTTACACATCACTTATTAGAGTGAACAGCGTGAAATGTCTATATATTGATCACAATCAACTAATGATGGTGAAAGAGTCATTGTGTGTATAAAGAACAGAAAAAAAACAAGCCCACCGATTAGCACAGTGATTTAGAAAATAAAACTAATTGAATACCGTTAAAATCAATTGTTTATTTTATCCGCCCATATATGTATTTAAATAATAAATACATTAATGTATAGATTGGAGAAAATTTTGATATGTGTTCTATGAAATTGTATATACTAGAATCATTATAATATGAAACAAGCTGACGACAAGAAAAAAGAATGATGATAATGATAGAGCAAAATAGTTCTTGTATTCACAGGAAAACATAACGAGGCCAAATTGAGAAAGACTAATGTCAAATGTATGTTTATATGATGTATGTAGCAGATGTTGATGATGATGACAAAATGAGAGAAGTTTGTATGTTCTTGACGTTATTCTTTCGTTATAGTACAAACAATATGAAATGAGATCTTATTTGCAGCAGCTTGATAGACTTTTATTATTACTTTTATTCATACACAAAAAAGAGAAAGAGAGAGAGAGAGAAAGAAAGAGAGTTTCTTCTACAACACTGACCTCGTTTGATTTGGTGAAATCGAACTAGGTAAAAATGTCTGATGACGTCGTATAACTTCATTTGCTGCAATTGCATTAAAGAAATGTTGTTGACGTAAAGCAGCGGCTGCTGATGCATATAATGCCGCAGAATAAGGACTTAAATTTGAACGTTTAAATGCTGTTAAACGATGATTTCGTGATGTAGATGCTCGACGTCGAAGTTTACCAGTTGTTGCACCAATAAAAACATCATCAGCTGATGGATCAAGCATCCAATAATTTCCTTTACCTTCAATAATAATATTAAAAAAAAAAGTTTTATTTTTTTTTTGCAATAAAATTTTTACCGGGATCATCATAATGTCGTGGTACTTTAACAAAACATTTATTCAATGATAAGTTATGTCGAATAGAATTTTGCCAACCTTGTTTATTTTCACGATAATATGGAAAAGTTTTCATAATATATTCATAAATACCATTTAATGTTAAACGTTCATGAGGTGATGATCGTATAGCCATCATAATTAAAGCATTATATGAATAAGCTGGTTTAACACCATATTTATTTTTTAATGCAGGAGTTGTTGGAAGAGTTTTTTGAGTTGTTAAACCATCTGAACCAGATTCACTTGATATCGATGATGAAGATTTTTTCGTTGATTTTGTTTCTTCATCTTCTGAACTTTCAATATCAATTTCTTGTTCATCATCTTCTTCTTCATCATCAATTGTTGAATGTTTTTTTGTTACCGTATCATCTTCTCCAAGAACACTTCGAATTGAAAACGAACTATGAAAAACATGTTCTTCCATATTGAGTAGTACTTTTTTCTTTTGCTTTATGTCTGAAGAAAATAGTAAAATAATGTCGTTTGCTAATGATAGCGTGTTAGAAGTAACAGCCTGTTTGATCAACAAAAGAGTAGCGCATCTCTCGAACGAACTTTTTTCTTCTTCTTCTTCTCCGTCTTTCTATTTACATACAGAACGCGAGGTGTTCATGTTCATTATTTTCTTTCTCCTATAGACCAATGTTGATACAGTTTGCTATAAAAATGGTTGGTCGAAAAAAGAAATATTTCTTTTTCTTCTTCGCTTTTCTAGGGTAGCCAATGTTTGTAAAACAGAACTTTTTTATTTTCACCAATAAAAATAAGTTTTGTCTACAAGGCACAAGGATAATAAGAAAAACGAAGAATATATACTTATCGCGATTATATGTTTATAAAGAAGAGAGAAGAAAAAAAAAGTAAGAGTAAATGATGTTAATCATTCTGATAGTTTATTATTATAAGACAGCAAA